CATTTCCTTGTGTAGGATTAAGGAAGTTAGTATCAGAGTATCTCATGAAGCACCCTGCATTCAGTGCCCGACCCTCAGACTATGGCAAACACCCCAAGATAGATGCAGATGCATTCTCCAAACAAGCTCTGCAATAGTCACCACTAAGTGTCCTCCAGCAGTCAGCAAGAACAAAAGCCGACTCATTTGCTGTCCCTGACACAGGGACTTTTGGTCTTGCATACAAATTGTTTGCTGGTACTGATGAAACTACTTTTTTAACAGCTTGCCTTGCAAAGACTCGAAATGCAGAATTTTTTTTGCGTTCTATTACCACAGAGAACCTTGTCATTTGGTCCAGTATACTCTTGAAAGAAACTATAATTCTTAGCTCTCATGAAGCAGCCATCGAGGAAAATCCTTCCACCGTTGGAAGGAAAGCACTGAGGAAGAATAGTGCGTGCTTCAGCATAGCATAGCGCACATTCATGTAAAGAAAGATCACCATAGCAGTCTGCTAGTGCATAATTAGTGTCGGGTCCTGAGCTCGTTACTGCCATACCATATCCCGAGGTTTGCATTTGCCGGCTTATTTTTTCCATTGTGTCGACAAAGGTCGCGACAAAGATGGAGGTGTTGGGAGAAGGTTGTTTTCCACAGACCATATGAACTATCTGAGCTCTTGGATCTCCAAATGTTGCATCTGGGACTGGTAGTTCCAAATTAACCAGAATAAAAGTGATAACAGGTTGACAAGCAATGAATTTCTTCATTTTCCAATTTGTTCAGTTAAAAACTGACAAAAATAAAGGCTCTAATAGAAATCAAGAGAGGCTAATACTTAATATGAGTTAAAATAATGCTACCAACCTGATGAAGTGCACACCTGAGGCGTGACACCAGCAGCTGCTCTTCCTGGATTCTTGGAGTGGAGCAGCAAATTAGTTAGACAGCTGGCAAATCAATTCTAGAATGTTCCTTATATGTACATTGTTTGTATAGCTTGAGTATTATAAAATATCAGTGTAAAACGATTGATTCATTGAACAAAGTGAAAGACATTTCAATTATTTTTCTCATTTTTCTAACTTGGTATCAGAGCCTTGAATATGGCTAACACCGGAAATCAGTCCGACCCAACAGAGCTAAGCTCAGCACCAGCCATCCCTACTACTACTGGTGCAAGCTACAACTCACCGTTTGGAATGAATCTCACTCAGACTGCCTCAGTGAAACTTGATAAAAAATAACTTCCTACTATGGAAGAATATGGTTATGCCAATCATTAGAGGACATAACTTGGAAGGACATTTACTTGGGACAAAGGAATGTCCAGCTGAATTCATGCCCACTTAAACCCCTGTTGGCCAAGGAGAAGTAGTCAAAATGATCTAGAATCCAGAGTACAATAAGTGGATTTCAACTGATCAATTGTTAATTGGATGGTTATACTCATCCATGTCTCCAGAAATAGCAGTAAAGGTAATGGGCTGTACCAGTTCAAGCAAACTATGGAACCATGTCTATGGATCAATAGCTCACCACCGTTAAACAATTGGCTGACAACCTAGCAATTGCTGGGAAGGTTATCAATCAAAGTGACCTCATAACTCAGGTACTCTCAGGCCTTGATGAGGAGTACACCCCCATAGTTGTACAAATTAATGGTAGAGATACCATCTCCTGGTATGAGTTATCATCTATGCTTATGACGTTTAAGAGTAGACTGGAACATCTTAATCAAGGCAGAAACAATTTTGCCTCAATGAATTTTGGACAATCGAGTGCACACCTAGTTCACAGAAACTTCTCAAGCACTGGCAGAGGTTTTAGAGGAATCCACAATGTGAGATCAGTAGGCTTCAGAGGGAGAGCAAGAGGCAGAGGCATAACTAGTATAGGCAGACAAAATGAGAACAAAGGATCATGCCAGATCTGTGGACTCCAGAATCACTCAGCAAGTTGGTGCTTCAATAGGTATGATGAAAGGTATATGAGAAGCAAACCAGCTAATCAGGGGCATCAGAGGAATAGCTTTACACCTTCTGCATACATGGCCTCACCTCAAACTCTTGAGGATCCAGCCTGGTTTGTGGATTCCGGTGCCAGTAATCATGTGACAGCTGAAAGAGGTAACTTATATTCTGGTATGAAATATGAAGGTAAAGGAAAATTGATGGTTGGAGATGGAAACTCATTACACATTGCACATATTGGAAATGGTAATGTCCCTACATTAACTAATAAGCCTCTTGTGTTAAACAAATTATTACATGTACCTTTGATTAAGAGAAACCTGGTGAGTGTCTCTCAGCTTACCAATGATAACAAGGTGCTCATTGAATTCTTTTCTGATTGTTTCATTGTGAAGGACTTGCAAACGAGGAGGATCCTGCTTCAAGGGATACTTAAGGATGGGCTGTATCGATTGGAGTTACCTAGCCACCAACCGGAATACACAGTAACAGAGTCAAAACACCAAAAAAAACCCAACTGTTTCTCAGTAAACTCTAGTTGTAAAGAGTCAGCCCTTATTGTCAAAGTGTCTGAGTCTGAACTTGATATTTGGCATAGGAGGTTAGGCTACCCTTCGAATAATGTGCTAAGTCAAGTTATTAAGTCTTTTAATAAGTTCAAAAAGACTAATGAAATTCCTACTTTCTGTCAGTCGTTTAAACTTAGTAAATCTCATGCATTACCTTTCAATAACTCTTTATCATGTGCATGAAATCCTTTAGACCTGGTGCACTCTAATGTGTGGGGACCAACACCCCTAAATTCTACCTCTGGATTTAGGTACTACATAATTTTTGTGGATGACCATAGTCGCTTTACCAGGATTTACCCCATGAAACATAAATCTGAGGCCCTGAACATTTTTATCCAATTCAAGAAACTTGCTGAAAATCAATTGGAAAGAAAGATTAAATCCCTACAAACGGATTGGGGAGGAGAATTTAGGACCTTTGGTAAGATAGCTGTAGAATCAGGCATTGAGATTAGACACTCATGCCCCTACACTTCTGTACAGAACTGAAGGGCGGAAAGAAAACACAGGCACGTCACTGAAACCGGTCTGACATTGTTAGCTCAAGCCCAAATGCCCTTATTCTACTGATAGGAATCATTCAAAACAGCAACCTACCTAATAAATAGATTACCTACTCCTATTCTTGAAAATAGATCGCCATATCAGACCTTGTTTAAGAGGGACTTTGATTACAAATCATTAAAAACTTTTAGCTGCACATGTTATCCTTGCCTGAGACCCTACCAGAAGTACAAATTCAGTTTCCATTCACAGAGATGCGTCTTCCTTGGCTATGGTGATTCACAAAAGGATTATAAGTGTCTAAGTTCAACAGGTAGAATTTATATTTCAAGACATGTCGTGTTCAATGAGTCAGAATTTCCCTTTCTAACAGGCTTCCTAAATAAGTTAAACAAACCACAGACCTCTGAAATAACCATGAGCTACCTTCCTTTTACTGAGTTAAGTCATAAAGCTATCCCTCTAACCTCAATTGATATTGCTCAGCCTAATGAATCACTTGCTGCAGGCCTTCCTAACAGAGAGGTTGTGGTTGAGGATGAAATAAATGCAGGAAATAATGATGATGAAAATTTAGAAGAGTTAACCAACCATGAGGAAACAGAAATTCAGTCTGGAGAAAGGAGTATTCAAATTAATGCTGAGATAACAGAAAATGAAAATGCTAACAACAACATTGGTCATCGAATGGTTACTAGAAGTAAAGCTGGGATTTTTAAGCTAAAAATCTACTTGAGCAAAGTGCAGGATAAGTTAACTGAGATTGAGCCATCAACTACTGATGAAGCCCTGTCAAGCAGTAGTTGGAGAAAGGCAATGCAAGAAGAATATAATGCCTTGATGAAGAATGAGACATGGACTCTTGTGCCGCCTGTGACTGGAGCAGAAGTAATTGGCAATAAGTGGGTGTTCAAGCTAAAAATTGACACTGAAGGAAGAGTACAGAGGCAGAAAGCAAGGCTAGTTGCTAAGGGATTCCTTCAAACTCCTGGGATAGATTTCACTGAAACATTTAGCCCTGTAGTTAAGGCATCAACCTTGAGGATTATCCTAATGCTGGCAGTATCCAAAGACTGGGAAATCAGGAAGGTTGATGTTAACAATGCATTTCTGAATGGCGAGCTAAGTGAAGTGGTATATATGGACCAGCCACAAGGATTTGTGAATAAAGAAAATCCTGAGTTTATCTGTAAGTTAAAGAAGGCTCTATACGGGCTGAGACAGGCACCTAGAGCATGGAATGAAAGGTTAAAAGACACACTATTGGGCTAGAAATCTCAACAGTCGAGGGCTGATAATTCCTTGTTCTTCCTCGAAGGTGAAAATGATGTATTGTTTGCCCTCATATATATCGATGATATAGTTATAACAGGTAACAACAAACACCAAATACAGGACTTCATTGGTAAATTAAACACTTGCATTACACTGAAAGATATGGGGAGTCTTAGCCAATTCCTGGGAATCAAGGTTCACAGAGATAAAACCGGCTTATACTTGACTCAAACCAAATATGCTGAGAGCCTTCTCAAGAAGTTTGGTTTTGGGAACCTAAACCCAAGTTTGACACCAATGACAGCAGGTAAGCTAATTTCAAAAACTGAAGGGCAGGCCATTGAGGACCCAACACTCTTTAGAAGTGCAATTGGAGGTCTTCAGTATCTGATTCATACAAGACCAGATATTACCTATTCTATAAACATGTTAAGTCAATTTCTCCAAAATCCCACCGATATCCACTGTAAGCTGCTCAAACGAATTTTTAGATACTTGAAAGGGACATTAAATCTTGGCATTGCAATTCGAAAAAGTGACAATCTTGGTATTGTAGCATTTGCTGATTCAGATTGGGCCTCCTGTCCAGATGACAGAAGGTCCACTGCAGGCTATTGTGTATATATTGGAGATAGTCTTGTGTCTTGGAGCTCGAAAAAATAGCACGTTGTAGCCAAGTCCAGTACAGAGGCTGAGTACCGGGCACTAGCTCACACCGCATCAGAAATTGCATGGATCCAGTCACTAATGAATGAACTGAAGATACCACAGAAATCAGTACCTAACATCTGGTGCGACAACTTGAACGCAAGCGCATTAGCTTCAAACCCTGTCTACCACGCATGGACTAAGCACATAGAGCTTGATGCTCACTTTGTAAGAGACAAAATAATAAAGGAAGAACTAAAAATACAATATGTGCCATCCTCAGAACAAGCGGCAGACCTTCTTACTAAACCACTAGCTCATCCAAGGTTTCAATTTCTCAGAGACAAGATTGGAGTGGTAAAAACTCACTCCACCTTGAAGGGGGGGAGTTAAAATAATGCTACCAACCTGATGAAGTGCACACCTGAGGCGTGACACCAACAGCTGCTCTTCCTGGATTCTTGGAGTGGAGCAGCAAATTAGTTAGACAGCTGGCAAATCAATTCTAGAATGTTTCTTGTATGTACATTTTTTGTGTAGCTTGAATATTATAAAATATCAGTGTAAAACGATTTATTCATTGAACAAAGTGAAAGACATTTCAATTATTTTTCTCATTTTTCTAACTCTGTGAATTGTGACTGGAACAACAGAATTGAGAAATCAAACCTTATCAATGGAACTGATTTCAAATTGAGAGTTTCACTATAAAATGTTTAGTTGGAGCTGATTTCATTTGAGACAATATAATGGTCTATGGAGACTACACGATCCATTCGAGACAAAAATAATGTGGAT